ACTTCCGCAATTGCTGTTCTGTGGCAAAAATTAATGAATACCACACAGTATCCACTGTGTCTTTATATGGCCCTGACTTACTTGGTGCTCCTGTCCTATGCCTGTCTAGCCTGATAGGGCCATGCAGCCAGGTGACAACTAGCATGGTAGCCTCCACATACATCGTACCAATACAGAGGATGCTGGGAGATGAGCTGCCTCAATGCCCTTCCTGCTAGCCTCTCACTGAAGCTTGGGGAGGTGAAGACAAGAAAGGCAGACCATAGGCAGTCAGCATTCCTGGTGAGTCACTCATTTAGTCTTTAAATAGGCAAGCCTGCCTATTGTGAGTACATTTCTCCCAGGAGGCTTCCCTCCCATAGATCTTTTTCTCTTGTATAGTATCTTCTATATGTATAGTCGGTTGGAAATTTCCAGAGATAAAAATTTCTTGTAACAACTCTTGTCACAACTTTTTCAGGGTGGGCAGGTGTGGGCATTGGGTTGGATCTAGGGCTGGAGATGACAGGTCTGGAAATAACCCCCTTTTCCAGGTTTAGAAGAATCTTCTTATGGAGACTTGGAGCAAAGGCACCATCAGGCCTAGCTCAAGAGATGGAGGCCAGGCCCTGCTCCTGGGTGACAAGGAGTGGCATGAATCCATGTATTTTCTAGCAGAGGGTCACTCCTAGTTGAATTCAAATTGGCAGCTGAGGTGGCTTCCAGAAGCACTGGGCTGGCATTTGGGTCTCCTGGTGCTCGGGATATTTTCTCAGTGCCAGACCCAGGGATAATGCTGTTGTAACCAATAAAAGTTGTGGCCTTATTCTTTCTATTTTTTAAATTTTTTTTTGCTTGTTTGTATTTTCTTGCAGCTCAGAAGCAGCTTAGCTTCAGATACACAAAATAGGGTCAAGAGTGACAAGCAAATACATCATATGTAATGCAAGAGAAGTAGGGAAATCTAACACATACAAACATGTATAAATGTCTATGTTTATGCAATTGTTAAGCAAGACATATAATGCAAGACTTCTGTAGTGACAATTCCAACAAAAGTGTATCAGTAAAAACTTCTAAACCTGTATATTTACTGTTTCAACACTTAGAAGTACCAAGTGTTTATATTCAAGGCAGAAATAGGCAAGGTGAAAATCTGATAGTTAGAAACAAAAAGAGCTACCTTGAAGGTTAAAGGACATTTGATTGTTCTCAAATGAACTTCTGCAGTGCCCACAGGCAAATTTAATTTGCCTTCCTTTTGTAGTTGGTCATCAATACATAAAGAGGAGGTTTCTTTTGCATGTTGATTGTGCTTTGAGGATGGTGTCTTGGAATGGATAATGTTTTTCTATTTTTTAAATTTTTTTTTGCTTGTTTGTATTTTCTTGCAGCTCAGAAGCAGCTTAGCTTCAGAGGATGGTGTCTTGGAATGGATAATGTTTTAGCACCTTGGAAAGCTCTGCTCCATCTCTATCCAAAGTTAACCTGAAATATTCTGCCTCAATGACAAGTTCCTAAAGCAGGAATGAAGGGACTTCCAGCTGTTGAACTGCAGTCCCCATAATCCACCAGAATTGCTATGCTGGCTATGACTGTCAGCAGTTCTAGTCCAACAGCATCTGGAGAAACTGTAGTGTCTCATGCCTGGCCTAGACTCAGTAGAAAATAAATCTGTGTTTTTAGGATTGGGGTCCATCAAGAAGGGAATGGTTAATTTCCCCCTTTTGTATTGTGCTCCTGATATCATTTTCCTGACACTGCAACATGTATTTAAACAACCCAACCAACCAACCAACCAACCAACCAACCAACCAACCAACCAACCAACAAACAAACAGTCCTAGACTTACGGTGCAGTACCCACGCCATAGCCACCAACAGACAGAAGAGTTTTCAAACTGGGATTTCTGGAAATATTGGGATAAAAAAAAGTTAAAAGAATGCCATAATTTTTACCCAGAATGCATTGCAGAAAGTACTGCGGATGACTGAAGCAAATTGGGGTGCAATCAGCAAAAAGCTTTGAATCAAAATGTACAAAAGAGCCCCCAAATACAGCAAGACTGACTGAACGCATCTTGAAGCAACTTCAGATGAACTATGCTGAAAAGAGGGACAAAAGGACATGGAAAGCTATTTCAAAAAACGCTGAGCTAAGTGAGATAACAGAGAAGTCTTTCATTGTGTGAATGGCAAGAAATATACTGATAAAATCAGTTCAGAACCCAATACCTTTCTAGGAACAAATGATCTATCTGTATAAGCCCTTGGACTCTGCTTGTAAGTGGCTTTCAGTGCAAGTATTCTTTGTGATCAGAAGTCAGAAGAAATGGTTTCTGTTATAATTCCCAGAACTCTCCACTTAGCATTGCCACTGCCCCCTCTGGATGTTGTAATCTAAAATGTAACACCTCCAGGAAGCTAATATTGGGGAGTGTAGTCAGGACTCAGACCACAGTATGTGGGAAGGTTTTTTAAGAAACCATGTCCCCCTGCCCTGCCCTAACAAAAAGGCCAGCCTTGTTTTGGATTCAGAAGGGGACTTCTTAGTGGTGTCACTGGAAGTCGTCTTCCCAATGCAAACAGCAACTTTACGGGAAGGAGGTTTTCCCCATGGCAACAGAAGTCTCCCTCTTTGCCCATTATGGTTGTGATCCCAATCAGACTTTGGAAATAACTTGTTAGATTTAACACATTCATACAAAAATCTTTATAATTGCATTGACCAGGAGGACAACCTAATTGACACATTTGAAGAGTAATATCACGTAAACTATGTTTTTAATTGCTGGACACATTTGAAGAGTAATATCACGTAAACTATGTTTTAACTACTGGATAGCTCAATGGTTTAGGTCTGGTTGGGAGTTCAATTCCCCACTGTGCCTCCTTGACAATGGCTGAACCAATGATTCATGGTGTTACTGCCAGCTCTGAAATTCTACGATATTTTAACATTATTTTAAAAGTATCATTTTAACAGATTAGATAAAATTAGCTCATTTAATACCAAGGCAATTATGCTACTACAGATATATTAAATGCAATATGTCATTGCCAAGCTATGCTAGCTCGGTGAGCTAGAATGCTTGGGTTAGCAGTTCGATTCACCATTGTGTCTTCCAGAGGAAAATACAGTCTTTGTGGTCTTGGGCAAGCTGCATAGTCCTGTTTTAGCTACAATTTCTGCAAGAGTAACCCCTATTTATCATAGGTTGCAGCATTAGAAGCTGCTATGGCTCTATTATTTCCTTATCAGAGAATCAATTATATCTGACAGAGATCTGTCTAGCTTTCTCTTAAATGCTTCCAGTGGCGGAGAAGCTCACTGTCTCCTAAGGTCATTATTTCCATTGTCAAACTGCTCTAAAAGTTACGGTAAAAGATTTTTCCTGATATTCAAAAAAAATCTGGCTTCCTGTAACTTGAGACCACTATTATGTGTGACCATGGAATGATCAAGAACAGATCCTGTCCCTCCTATGTATGACAGCCTTTCAAGTATTTGAAGAGGCCTATCTTATCTCCCATCAGTCTTCTTTTCTCAAGATTAAACATGCCCTATGAAGTCTTTCTTCATAGTGCTTGGATTCCAGTCGTTATCCTTGTTGTCTTCCTCTGTAAAAGAATTTGGCTTTCAATTTGACTGCATCCTTCTTTAAGTGTGGTGTCCAGAACTGGACACAGTATTCAAGATGAGGCCAAAGCAGTGCCAAATAGAGGGGAAGTACTGTAGTACTTCATGGGTTTTGGAGACATACTATTGCTAATGCAGCCTAAAATGATATTTGCCCTTTTCCTCCCCCACCTGCATTACATTGCTGGCTTGTATTCAGCTTGTGATCTACAACAATTCCAAGATCCTTCTCACATGTAGTAGTGCTGAGACAAGTATCCCCCATCTTGTAACTGTGCATTTGGTTTCTTAACTATCAAGAGCCTAAGAGCTCTTTAATCTTTATGTTCCCAGGTATTCATGTGCCTCATTGGTATACCTACCTGGATTTAAGACTGTTGATTTTCTTATACATAGTTGCATCATTCCATTCAGAATTGGCAATCACATTGTCTTCTATTTTGGCAAAAGCATAAATGATGTGGCTGCAGAGACTTGGATCAATGTTTTCAGGGGTGAACCTCCCTGTAGTTTCCCGATACTGAGACCAGTTGGTGAAATAACAAACCACCTTAAAGGCAGAGCCTGTTACAATAATTGGGAAAGAGAGAATGGAAAAGAAAATTAGTCAAAGAATTTTAAGGAACTCAGGGGAGGGAGAAAAAATTGCTCTGGTGTAATGGGTGAATAAGCAGTTACAAGGGTTGTACTTGCTGACCACATCAAATAGTTTAGCATTACTAAAACAAAAATATATAGTAAAGTGATTCAGAAGGATCTCTCTGAATTGGCTATGAGGCATCAAAATGTAAAATACTGTACAGTTTAATGTCAGCAGATCTACAGTCATTTATATTGGTACATAATACTTCTTTACTTGTCCAAACTGGCATTAATATCCACTTTTGCTCAACCTGCCACCTTGGCTCTGCCCACTATTGGTTGCTGTGCCTTTCATTCATCAACCCAGCTATCATAGAGTAGCAAGCTATCTGTGATGAAGAGGCTTGTACCGTGGCACATCAGAAGGTGCCAGTTTGGAGATGGCTGATGTAGAAGACATGTAGTTCAGGAGGCAGGGTCTACTGATAGGACCTGGTTTCCTTAAGTGTGTACTCTTGCTCTAGACTTGTATATGGCTGATGCCCTACACTCATTAAGTAATTTAGGCACATCAGAACAACCTTACATCATTAGTTACCATTATATTCCTTCTCCAACATTTAGTAAGACCTCAGAAGTATAAAAATCATATACTGTACAAATTATCATTCACACCACAAAAGAAGTGAAGGTTTAAAATACTGAGTTGATGCTATAATGTCATGGTACTTCATTGGGAATATTTTCTGGAAAATTTACAAGTTACTGGCTATTTTGAACTAGTTATTTCCAAGCTCTATCACAAATAAAATATGACCACAATAACATTATTTCTGTAAATAATCTGAGTCTGAGTTTTAAAGGAGGAGAGAGAATTAGCAGACACTTTGGAAGTTTGTCTCCTGCTTAATTCCCACCTTGCTTTTATTTCCCTCTTTATTCACAATAACTTTTTAGAACACTGTTAGAGACTGAATCAAGGAAGTTCTAAACCCAAAATGAACAGCAACAAAGAATGACATAGTGACATACCACAATGAAGAAGTGTCAGTGCCAGGAGACCTACCAAAAAAGAAAAAAACAACAAAAAACAAAAACAAAAACAAAGAATGTTCCATTATGGCAAAGTCAGTTTGTATAGAAACACTAAGCAGTAATATTTTTTCCCTTTTATATCCCTCTCAATTTCAAAGTGATGTTGCCTTTTGATAAACAAAGGTATTCAAATGAATGATGTGTACATTCCTCTCCCAAGCAGCAAGAAATTTACCTGCTTAGCCGGTCACTTTATGGGATTTTTACATGGACTCATAGAATATTAAATATTAAATTGTAATTGTAATCAGTATAAAGTATACTGTAGTAATCAGCAACATCACATAATCTATGGTCCTGTGCTGAATAAGAAAACAAATCTCAGGAGCTGTACTTGAAAAAAAGTCCCTAATCCCCAGTCCTAAATAAATAATGATACATATATCAAAAGACTTACCCATCCACACAAACACATGACTCATCTTGAGTTCTTAACAACACTCAGACTCCAAGTCGTCTCTGTCCTGCGATAGGAACACTGGTTCCTTCACAGTGATGCTGTTGCTTCAAATCAGATTTATAGCATCCTGCCGCTGTCAAACTGAAAGCAAAATATGCTAAGTGGCTGCTTTCCCTCAGTGATGATTGCATTTATTCCTGGAATGATTGTGCAACGATCCAAGCAGGGAGTGTTGCAATTCTCATTGTGGTTAAGAGGTTTATTTATTTATCAATTACCAACAGCTGTTTGACACTGACCAATGGCAAAAATGGAAAAACACAGCAGGAGAAGGTTCATGTCTCATTCTGTATCTTTCATACCATCCTTGATTCACTAGCATGATTTTGACTTGGATGTTGACCTTAGCTAAGCTCCAGTGCTTAAGCCTAGTTCACTGATCAGGATTTATATGACTCAGCAATGCAGGTGTGGGAAGCAAGAAGGTGTCTGCTAGGTAGCTTTGCCCAGATATGTTACACACCACAGCCAACATCCAGGTGTTGTCACAGGGAGCTAGAAAGGGGAAAGCTGGAAGCATGAAGGCTTGCCTCTTACTGGAAACCCCAACTGCACACAGTCATTGCTTCTGTGGAAACCTTCACACCTACAGCACTACACATGAAGGCTTCTCCTTTGCAGGTGTCCAGAAGGGCAGAGGTGGCAGGCTATATAGCACCTGGGTCTCAGACAGTGGACCATTTTCTTTCTTTCTTTCTTTCTTTCTTTCTTTCTTTCTTTCTTTCTTTCTTTCTTTCTTTCTTTCTTTCTTTCTTTCTTTCTTTCTTTCTTTCTTTCTTTGCTTTCTTTATTAGTTATATTTATAGAAGTCTTTATAGAATATCTTATCCCAAGTTTGGCCATCCATCTGACCTGGTCTTCACAAACCTCACACCTATGGGTGTTGACATCTTAAGGAGCCTGGAAAATATCAACTAGAAACCGAATTTTCTCAGTGGTGGTGCCCCTCTTATGGAACTGCCTCCTACAGAAGCAACAACAGGTGCCCTTCCCTCATGCCTTTAAAAAGCTCTTGAAAGCTTTTTTTGTGGGGCGGGGGCTCTTGCCAGTTAGTTGGGACAGAGGAGGAAGCAAGAGGAATGTTGTGTTATATGATGCAAAATTGGTATTTTGCCAGCTGTCTTGTTTTGTCATCTACTTATAAGATAATTTAGTGCTTTATAGTAATTTTGTAATTTATGTTTCTTTCTATTTTTTTTATTGTACACCACCCAAAGTAGTGATTTTGCAAGATAGGCAGCATATAAATCGAATAAATGAAGAAATGAATAACTCGTACTTTTCCTCCAGTGAGCTCCAGGGAGTATACCTAACTCCTCTTCTCCCCACTCTTTTGTCACAACAGACCAATGTGGTAGGTCAGGCTAAAAAAGAGGTTAATCTAAGCTCCCATAGTAGCTGAGTGGCTCAGATGGGATTAGAATTTGCACTGCCAAGTCCTGGTCCAACACTTGAACGACTGCACTGATACTCTCTCCTTCACTGATGTATTGACTGAATGTTTGTATCCTAATGAGAGAGCTCACACACAGAGCTGTGGCCTTCAAAGCATGCTTCCTTCAAGAGCCTGCAGGGAAAAGTTAGAGAAGATAAACTTTGTTGCAGCATGCATGCTGATAAGAGTAGAAACAGACATTATAGATAGCCTGTCACTAGATGAGGAAAATTCTTCATGGCTATTCATGTATGAGCTTGTCTCATATCCTGGAGTCTCCAAATTAGTTTGCTTGGTTTTCTGATTAGCATTCAGGACTCAAGAGTAGGATTCTAGTTGCTTCTTACATTTCAAAGTCTGCCTCATTCACATCTCTCCAACACCAATGTACTTTCAACTCTAATTACTAGCTTTCTATAACATCATTTTTGCTTTAGGTTTTAGTGTTTGATTTCCTTCTCATTTTTACCTATTAGAAATTAAGTGTGACAATTTACTCACCATTCAGCAATCTCCCCACTTTGTATGACAGAACTGACACCATTTGCTATGACTTATCCCACTGTTTAGTACTGGTACCGGGTGTTTATGTTTGTGTGTGTGTGTGTGTGTGTGTGTGTGTGTGTGTGTGTGTGTGTGTGTGTGTGTGAGAGAGAGAGAGAGAGAGAGAGAGAGAGAGTGAGTG